GCAAAGATTTTACCATTTCCTTCTTCCCCAACAAACAAAGATGAAGAATATAATTCTTTATGGATTAAGGAAGAGAATTCTCTTTTGGGCCCTCCCTGGTCAACCCCAGCCTCACTCACAAATTGCACTTTTACGTAACTATTTTTATTAAGATGTTCCTTCTTTACACTGTCACATTTCATCTTTGTGTCTTGCCATAAAGAGCTTCTCCTTACTTTGAACCTGAGAAAAATAACAGGACATTACTGGTAGTTTCTAACTAGAAAGTGAGTGTTGTAAGTAATAAAGGCACTGTTTTGAGGGATTTGAAACAGTAACTCAACAAACAGGGTATACATGTTTCAACTAAAAGTACGTACATAACTATTTATTTAAAAATAAGCAAAATGACTTCTGTCGCGGTTTATAAGTTGTATTGCAAGAGTGTTCAACCATGTAAAATTGATTTGCCAAACTGAAATACATGAATAAAGTGAGATTCTAATGAGATTCGTAACTTCATGTATTAGTATAGTAGCTGGACCATCACAGCGAATGAACCATCTAGGAAATTGTATTAGAATGTTGAAAGACCTGAAAAAATTTTCAGGCTTCCCATTAATCACCCAGATTGTTTATTCACTGCAACAGTCCACCTAATGTACTAATACACATATCTACTGAAGTTCAGTTCAGACCATTTAATTTCAAACATTACCTTCATTAAACAAAATTTATCAATATAATAGAGCCGTTTTTAAAGTCCTGCACTAGCTCCCACAACAGCCCGCCCCCAAGCCCCCAATCAGTAACCTCCAAAATTGAGAAATTTACCAAATCAAACCTGATGTAGGATTTCTCTTCCAATTCAAGTGCTTTGCATTCACAAAGCATTTGAAGATCTTCGGTAAATGTGTTTGTTGTACCAGCTTCAGTCTCCTCAGGAATGTGTATAATACTTTCATAACTTTCCTCTCCATCTGAATCATCAGAGACATAGAGTATGTCCCCATACTGTCTGTTAACATACATATAGTCAAGGCCACTGGATGTCTGATAAACTTGGCTTTGGTTTGAACTGCTCATGCTTGCA